TAAGCATGAGGCTCCTAAGCATGAGGCTCCTATGCATGAGGCTCCTGCGCCCAACCTTGTTGAACAGAAGAAGTCTGTTGAAAAAAAGGTGGAAGATGAGCTTGCTATGTTCCAGTCCGCATTGATGAAAGTAGCAAAGCTGGGGAAGGGGAAGGGCAAGGAAAAGGAAAAGGAAAAGGAAAAGGAGAAGGAAAAGGAGAAAGAAAGGGAGAAGGAGGTGGTAGCAGTAACAACACCACGTTTTCCCAAGGGAATCGTGTTCGAGATTTCCGAGATCGAGATGGCCGAGCACGTCGAGCAGGCTGAGCAGGCTGAGCAGTCTGGCTCGGCTGAGAAGACACAACCTGGCCCAGGTTCGGTTTTCGCTGACCTCAGGAAGGCCTTGTGGACACCCGCCGTCGACAAGCTGCAAATCATCAAGCCCATTACCGGTGGCTCGTCCCGTGCTGATCACGGTGCTGGCAGCCACCTCGCCAAGCAGGCTGGACACTGCAAGGACTGCTCTTGCAAATGTGGAGAGATTCAGGACGAGGACCTGGCTGCCCTGCGTGCTGGCAAGCCTGTTCGCAAGCAGTTCCACGTCGACGGCAGCCGCATGCTCATCACTCCCAACGGAGACTGCGTCCGCGGCTTGACCCCTGAGGAGGAAGATGCATTCCTCGAGCTCCAGGCCGCCATTGCGACCACGGCAGAGAACCCTGGCGCCTTCATCGCTCCCCGACACCAGCCTGGAAGCGGCGCCTTTTCGCTCATCAAGGGTCGTGCTGTTCCCAACGGCCGTCCCAACATCTTCCCGGCCACCGCGCAGCCCCAGTCCCAGGATCCCATCGGCAAGCTCCAGCGCGAAGACGCCCTCAGCTACATCAACCAATACGTCCTCCCGCGTCTCAACCTCGGCGCCACTAACATGGGCTTCCCCAAGGGCGCCTCCCCGACGAAGGACGCCGCGGCCGCGAGCCTCAACTCCCTCGCCCCGTACTTTTACGGTCCCGATGCCGCTGCCGGGGTCGGTATCTACAGCCCGCCCGACGGCGCGCGCAACATGACAGACTTTGGTCCAGCCGGCATGCAGGCCGATGAGCGTGGCAAGACCATCGGCATGGGCGGTATGCCGCTAATGAGTGTTGAGGACGCCGAGGGCGCACTGGCGGCTGCTCGCCGCGAGACAGAGAAGTTGGAGAAGGGCCTGAACCAGGTGATTCGTCGCAACAGGCGTCTTCTCTTGGGAGGAGGCAACTAATCGCGATACCGCGCGAGGAGTGTTTACACAGAGGGAGCAACACAGAACCCCCATGGCCAAAGAATGGCCCCCATCAACTGTCAATATATATGTAATGATTTAATCACGACAAAGGAGGAGAGCATGTTCAAAATGGAGTAGATAGGTATGGATCAGTGCCATCTACTTGGCTGTACATGTCACTCAACGTTTAACGAATTGATGATACCTATTGGTAACTGCCGTGGTGCGGCAGAATACCTTCACTTCTTTGTCTCTCCTTGATACTTATGTGAAGTCGTAAATCATCCGCTCTATGTAATTTCCAGATTGAACGCCGACGCGCATTTATCCTATCCTGGCCTTCATATATGTCCCAAATGACATTAACTAAATATACATAGATCCAAGCTCGTGCTGGAGTTTCGTCCTAGAGTCTTGATTGAATAACTGGTAAATCACGGGGTGTCATGAATCCTTCTTTGTGTTCTCATCGTGATGCGCGCTGTTGGACTGGTGGTGTTGTGTGTCCCAATGGTGATGAGCCTGGGGCGGATGCGGCTGAGAGTGATGGGCATCTGCGTGGCCACTGCCATGCATCCTCAGCTGTCGCCTCCTCTCCATCGATAAAGATTCACGCAGTCGGTCTGTGAGTCTGTCGAGAATCCACTCGCTCTCTTCCTGGCTACCCATCAACGGGCTGCGATTCCCGACCCAAGACCATGTCGCTCCCTCGTATTCGCTATCTTGCTGGACGTGGTCGTGCTCGTGCTCGTGATTGTGTTCGTGCTCGTGCTCGTGATCGTTGCCATTGCTGTCGCTATTGTCGTCATGGCGGCCTTTACGGCGATGTTTATGCCTTTCCTTGGGCCTGGCCTTGCCATGCGTCTCAGCACTGCGCTCATCCTCACCGATGAGCTTGAGGTACCATGCCCACTGGTCGAAGGTATATCGGTGGGGCTTGTGTTCTTTGAGGTGGCCTGTGATAACCTGTATCTCAGATACGAGGAGGAAGTGGAAGTCAGTGCCTACGGGCAAATCGTCCAGGGGATCACGGAGGCGTGAGAGCGATCGCCGGACCTTGGCGGTGAAACTTGATAGGGTACGCTCATGCTCTGGCCGCTGGTGCATTGCAGCTTCTTGCTCGACGTCGGAGTGACGGGCGCGACCCCTCGCGTCGTCCTGGGTATTGTGCCGCTCGGATTTTGTCATCGGTTGAGAAAAGGGGTGTTTTACGCCGGTCTCGGAATCCAAGGAATCCAAAGGTTTGGGTTCTGGCATAACATGGGTTGGGAAGACCTTGCCGCATGTAAGCTTCTGCACAATGTGCTTCACGTTGTTGAAAAAGTCCTCTTCGCCAGGGAGAATGGTGACGTTTCCTAGTCGCAGAGTGCCGTCTCGGATGAACTTGATCACGGTGTCGCCGGCATTGGAGATGAGAACCGTCATGGTGGGCAACGCGAGAAGAGACCAGAAGACGAAGAAGGATTTGCCCGCATTCGATGCCGGAGTGATGTCTCCATATCCGATGGTGGTGAGAGCCACGAAGCAAAAGTAAAAGCCTGTGAAGTATGTCCAGTTCTGGTAGGGCTTCTCGCTCTTGACGAAGATCAAGGCACCTACGAGCCACAGAATGAGCCACGACCCGGTGGAGATTGCCATGGCCATCCATCTCCTGCGAGACGACGACTGAGCCTGGATCTGGCGCATCAACGCAAACTCAGCCTTGCGCCGTTCAAACTCAGTGGCCGGCAGCTTTTCTGACCGAGGACCTTGAGAGAGGCCTGAATCTGCACGAATGGGCTCAAGAAGGTCGTCGTCGCCGTGCCGAGTCATGGTCCGGACCATTTTACGGCGCTTCTTCTCTTCCATACGGGCGTCAAGGCGACGCTTTCCACGATCAAGTACAAGGCTCCGAATGGAACCAATGACCAAACCGAGACTGATAACACCGACGAGGGCATACGGCATCATGAGGGCTCGTCCAAGATTCGTTGACGGGGTGATGTCACCGAAACCAACAGTGAACAGGGTTACGTCAGCCCAATAGACGGCATCGAGGTAATTCCAGCCCTCGATATTGGAGAATACCAGGGCGCCGAGGAGAAGATATACGAGGAACATGATGGTCTGCAGCATGAGAGTGCGTTGGCTGCGAGTAAGCATGAAGTCCTTGTCGTAGTGGCCAGTCACAGCGCCGCAGAAGGTGACAACCATGAGAGAGGCGTCGAGGAAATAGAGTATGGCGGCCCAGATACCGTACCAGAAAGCCTGCGACCAGATGAGTTCATCTTGCGGAAACTTGAGGCCTTCGAGGAGAGGCCCAGCTGCGGTGGAAAGGAGGATGATGAGACATATGGATGAAATATACCTAGTACAAGTTTAGTATGAAATAGGACTGTAACAGGCATGGGGGTCAGTACCATCCTATGATGGTAATGGGTTGAGCGATGCTGAAGCGAACTCGTCTTGCCATGTTGAGGAGCAAGAACACGTTTGAGACCAGGGCGACGACAAGCTGGATGGCATTGACGATGGTCAGCCTAGAGAGGTGCTTATTAACGATGATGTTGCTTTATCATGATGGCACGAATTCATAGCAAGTATTAGACAAGGATGCATGATACATACCATGGCGGGTCGGCGACGAAAATGGCATCCTGGACATCCGTCCCGGGGGGGTAATGTTGTCGCCAAGGCCGGACTAATGCGCAGATACTGAATGCTGAGGCTACAGGGCCGAGAGTGCCTGCGATCATGGGGAACGCCGATGAGGCGAACCACCAGCGTCTGAGCAAGATATCACCAAAGTTAGACTAGTCGAAATGACGAGGATACGACGCCACAGGAATCTTCGAGTGTCAACTTACGTGGGCTCGAGATGAGCATCGTCGTTGGTAAACTTCTTCTCGCGCGTGGCACAGTTCTCGACGACATCGGCGTCGCTTTCGACGATATCACCCAGCCCGCCGTCGTCCATGGTGGAACCACAAGCTCCGAGTGCCCGGGGCGTGATGTGGCGAAGAGGCGCCAGCCAATGGAGAGGAAGAATTGAGGTTGTGAAGCCAAAATAGTGAGAATAGGAAGACTGGTTCACAACCGGCCTGGTGTCGTAGCGGACAAAGGACAGACGGGGGGTTCCAAAGAATGGAGCGTAGATGCAAGATGGAATCTTGGCAAAGTTGATCGGCGCTCGTCGGCGAAGACTTGGCACGGGGAGGCGGGAATGCAAGCGTCAGTGGAACGCCCCCAGATTCGATGCACCGATGACGTCGTTGTCCAATTGGGATGCAAACAACGTTAGACGGTAGCGGCATTAGTTGGATTACAGCACCTCCCGGCCGCTAACAGGGCGTTGCCACGTACTGTCGCTTTGGCCTTTCGGCACTGTGTGGCGGTGTTGTGCATAAAATTCTGGATGTACCTGGTCAGTGCGCACCCGGACGATGGATGTACCCCGTGCTTCACCCAAAGGCAGCCAAGCTGGGTCCACTGAACGGTGCACGCACTGGATCTCAGCGAACGAGTGATTCCTGCCAGCGTAACTAACTGAGACAAGGCACCTAGCTCAGCGACGAAACCAATCCGCCTCCCCGAAGCCGGGCTGCTTTTGTACTCGAGGGACTCTGAGAGTGTCAGTGTTGAGAAAATGACATAAATATATGTCCTCATGTCCGCCTCCACTTAGTAAAATCCCGGGAACCTAAAGTATATGCATTCTACAGTCACAGGGGCGCCAGCCATCAAAAAGTGAGTTGCCAAAAAGAGAAACATTAAGATTTGACGGATGAGGGATTCGAACCCTCGCCTCTTGCGAGATGCGAAATCCTTTTTCAAGACCAAGATATACTCTTGAGTCGCACGTGTTAGACCACTCCACCAACCCGCCTCTGATGCTATTAATTCGCAAGCATCGGAGGTATTGTAGACGCGAATAGCCCAGCGAACGAAGTATCAAAAAGAATCAAAAAAAGAAACAGTCTCTGACGGATGAGGGATTCGAACCCTCGCCTCTTGCGAGATGCGAAATCCTTTTTCAGGACCAAGTATGTCTTGAGTCGCACGTGTTAGACCACTCCACCAACCCGCCTTTGATAGATGAAAGAGTTGTTCATAATTATGCACATGTATCTGCTCATTTTGTGCCCGGTCCACAAAACAACTCGGGAACAATTGTGTCGCTGCTAATTTCACCCATGACGCGACCACACGAAGCCTTCTTCAACACGTGCCAGATCTAGCCACCTCATCACTCCGATTTGGTATTAGGTTAAACCAACACAAATAAGCTCTGTTGGTATCAGTCGTTGCTAGTTTCGTGTCCGTTCTCGGACCCCCAGCCGCGTCTTCATCGCTGCAGGTGTGTTGTCTTCGTGTCACTTATGCAGTAACAGCAGCATGCGAGGATGCCCTCGTACTCCAACACTCCGTGGCTGCCACCTCTTTACAACTCCATTCACCCTCAGGCCACGGCGTCCATTCAGCACTCAGAACCATGATCGCGTTGAGGTACAATGCGGCTCAGCTGGAAGTGTCACCATCGAGTAAGGAATCCCTTCCATATCAATCAACCTCATGAGCACACTTAGGCTAACTACCATTGCAGTCTCCTCAACATAGAAAAACATCCCCCATGCTCACCATTCTTCATCTACCTCCCTCCCTTCCCCCAAGCTGACGGGCTTCCTGCCCCGTTACCCGAGTTTCTCCGGGGGAAGCCAGTTGCCAGCATCAACTATCGATGGACCTCCCCTGTTGCCCCAGCTTCTGTAAGTGGTGATTCGGATCTGGCCTCGCAGTGGCCGATGCCCATCCACGACACCTGCTTCGCCTATTCTTGGCTTGTGCAGAATCTGGCGCCGGAAGGTCAGAAGCGACGGGACATTTATGTCTACGGCTCTCACATAGGCGGAAGCCTAGCCACCTCCCTCTCTTTGACGGAGACGCATCCCCACAAGCGATTTGCTGTTCGAGGCTTCATCTCCTACAATGCCATTTACAACTGGACCATGTTTCTTCCAGACCACCCGATTAACCGGCCATCCAAGCGAGCCAAGAACCCGGCAGCACGCCCAACACCGCTTGAAGGCACGCATCTTCATCGCCTTCAGGAGCTGCTGCCGGATTTATTCAGGTCCCCCGAGGACATGTTTGATCCGTTTGTGAGCCCGAGCACATTCTTTCACAACCCCGGGATTCTGATACCGGAGTCGTACTCCATCTCGGGCGAGGAAGCCGCAGCGCTCGAAGCCTTGGTCAACCCAGACTCTGCCCTGCAAGAGCCCAAGGTGCCCCGCAAGTCTCACCTGATGTTCCCGCCGCGCGCGTCGACGCTCAAGATTCCGGAATCTTTGCTTTTGTACGACTCACCAACTGTGGCTCCGTCAGCCAAGCAAGGACGACGAAAGGTATCAACGGGCCGAGGGAACACCATGGAGAGTCAAGCTCTTGAGTTGGTCGAGCTGATGAGGCGAAGCATCGAAAAGGTCGAGCTCAAAGAGCGTAGTAAATGGGACGATGAAGTTGCTAGCTGGGATGATGAGACAGAGCGCAGAGTACAAGCGTTGGAAGTTGGGGATGAAGGAGAAACATTAGAGCTGAACAAGGTGGGAGAGGAAGCGATTCAAGACTGGCTAGCGGACAGAATTCAGGATGACAGGATAGATGCTGGAGTGATAGAATAATACCCAGGCTTTCGCACGTGCCTGGTCTTCTCTGACGGGTCAATTATAGATATCTGGTTGAGGGCACCTGTATCGCAACTCTTCCTTGGTGCACTGGCTCTGCGGTGGGCGGCCATGCACACAGGTGACATTCATCGTGGGGGCGGGATGGCACTAACCAGATCCCAAGGAGCACTGGAAAGCTTAACGGGTGGAGCTGAACTGATAGGCCAATTCGGGAGACGGTCTGGACACCCTTATTCTGCGACATCCGACCCTGGCTGCGAAGGGGTGGAGGAGGGGAAGCCTGACGCAGGAAACAAGAATCGGCACGGTATTGTGCAGTAGCATCATGTAGCAGCAGGGGTCGTGTCTTGCGCAGACTGTGACGGAGCATCTGAACGTTATCTCTTTGCAACATCCTCATCAAACAGAGCCCGGGATGACATGGACGGGTGCCACTCCTTGCTACTTGCGGGAGTGGGAACAGTGGACAGTGAATGAGGGAGGGAGTGGGTCAGCCCGCCATCTCGATGAAATGATAACTGGACAGCGATTGAGGGCTTCGTATTTCATTTTGTCTATGGCGTGGGCTCGCAAGGCGTGGTAGGTACTTCGCACGCACCCATCATGGAGCACTGATAAGTACCAAGTACAGTACTTGGCAGAGATGCATGTCTGAGATGACGGAATGGGGGTACCTCGTCCCGCTGCAACCACGGATGGAATTACTCGCAGGTAGTGTGAAATTACGGCCTCAAGTCGGTCACCACAGGGTCCCTTCATCGACCGCTGCTCTCCACGACAGCCTCGTTTCGGCTGGCTTCCCCTTAATAATGAATCACGTATCCATCAGATACATTTGCATCATACCGTATTTATCATACACACTGCATCCTCGGTTCGCTAGCAGATTGCTACGTCACGTCACGTCCACTCATCACCATCCGGCATGCAACGCAACACGCTGGACTCGCAGCGAGATTACCGGCGTTTCTGAAGCTTCCAGGCACTATCCCAATCTCCCAGGGGGGGCCACTGCAAGTACCTCCTGGAGGGGCTAGGAGGGCGCCAACCGCCAACAAACAGGGACTGTCGCCTACTATAATTATAGAGGTGGAGGCCGGTCCCGCCCCGCTGCAGGGCCCGCGGTGGACCCCTGGTGCGGTCTCGGTCTCGACTTTGGAGGGACTTGCATGTTGTTCAGCGGCTGCCGAGTCTCACTTGCTGGTGGTTGAGTCGCTGCGGTTCGCTGGGATTTGCTGACAAGACACAATGGATGACAGTATGACAGTGAGACACAGGCACGCGCGCTTGGCTGATCCGACCCAGGTTTCACCTCTTGTCCCGGATTCTCCCAGACCCAGGCCCGGCAGGCCGTCTTCGTCGCCATCTCCGTGCCTTGAAGCCTCAGGTACCTCCCGCCAGGACAGGGAAAACGGGAAAAGCTCCGCCTCGAACGCCTACGTGCCTCTCCCCCAATCATCTCATCTCCCCTTCCCCCTCTCTGCCATCTAGACCTCCCCCATCGGACCTCCTCTTCTACTTCTTCCTCCTTCAACACCATAAGTGACTGGCAGCTGGACCTCCCAAACATCTCCCATTTCCTCAAGTATTCTTCGGTACGTCAACCTCAGCAGCGCCTGGCAGACGTTTGATCTCTCCCCCGCGCTATCGTCCAGAAGCTTATCTTCCCGTGTCCACTCACAGAAGTGGGCACAAATAAACAAGCTTCTAAGGCCAAGAACCATTCAAGCTAACAAACAACCATCTTTAGACATCCACGAATTCTCCGTCAGACTCACTATCCGTCAAAATGCCCGGCATCCGTGAGTGCCCCCCTCCGTCACTCGACTTGCGCCCGATACACTGCTCAACGACCCATCCCTTCTCTCAAACGCTCCATGCCTCCTCGTTGCTGACATGATGCGCCAGCTCTCCACGCCCTCGACAACTTGAAGGCCAAGTTCAAGGCCGCCTTCAAGAAGAAGACGGCTCCCGCCGAGACTGCTCCGGCTGACAAGCCTGTCGAGACCACTGTCCCGGCCACTGAGCCCACCAGCACTGAGCCTGCTCCCCCGGCCCCTGCCAGTATGTTCCGCCCGAATTACTGCCAGATGCGGATATCTTCCTAGATGGACTGCTCTAACCACAATGTTCCAGCTGAGCCTGTCCCCCCTGTCTCTGATCCCGCGAAGGAGGAGACTACGCCCGAGGTCAAGCCTGAGGCTCCTGTTGTGTCGGAAGCTGCCAAGACTGAGGAGGTTACTCCTGGTACGTTGGCTACAATATCCCACTCCCGCAGAGTCGAATTTGGCTAACACGTCGATTTAGTTGTTCCTCCTACCGAGCCTGCCAAGGTTGACGCCGCTCCTCTCACCGAGGCCGTTGTCCCTACCGAGACCGCCAAGCCGGAGCCTGTTCCGGCTGCGGTCCCCGCTGTGGCCACGGCCACCGTTACCGAGACGCCGGCCCCTCCTCCCGTTACCACCACCCCGGCCGTTGTCACTGAGGCCCCCGAGGAGAAGAAGGAGGAGTCTGCTCCTCCTGCTCCCGTTCCCGCTGCTGTCCCGGCTCCTACTGCCACTGCTTAAACGCTCCTCAGTGTTGCTCCTATCCGTGCCAACCTGCAAGCTCACTCAAGTATACATGTTGATGTCGTGGGGATGTTGAATGAAGGGCTAGCATGCGCGCGTCCGAGTAATTGTGGATGCGATGGGGGGTGGACGGATGCTATTTGTTGCTTTTATTGTTGCTACAGACCTGCTGCGGTCTGATTTTCCTTTTTGTGCTAGTTGGCTGGATACCCTGGAGAGAGGAGTGTTGCTATGTGCTTTGAAGTCTATACCCTGCCTTTTTGTCTAATGCACCATGCTCTCTATACTCTCCACTATCGTCACATCACTCACCACAAGCGATGTAAGCCGACCGCGCACGTGATGTACTGTACACAGTGACTGTAGCTCTCGGCGTGAGCAAATTCCGGCTCTACAGGCGATTCGGGTTCAGCTCTTACAAGATTTGCCAAGACTTAGAAGACCTCCCGAACGGTTTAGCGGTTGGCTGATCTATTGGCTGATCTCTGTCTGCTGGGTGGAAGTGATGTAAGGTCCTTCATTTCGTAGGTATATCTTCTATAGTCCATGATTCCATCTAAGGCGGCTACCTTGCCCATGGAGCTTTGGTCATGGTAATCTGCGCGCTGGTTGATCCGGGGTCTGCTGAG